CAGATAGGCAGAAATGGTTTATTTAATTGCGGCGATGTACGTGAGTTGGGATGCAAGAGGAGGACAGGAGGTGGAGGAGGAGCATAAAGGATTGGTTTGTGCAGAGAGCTGCGAGGGAGGAATCTGGGGTCGTCGCGGAGGGCGGAGGAGGAGGATTGGGGGGATGGGGGGGGTAGCTAGATGTGACTGAGCCAGATGCCGTGGGAAGGAGGAGAGGACCCGGTGCTGTGTCGAGAATGATGGCATGCGTAGCGCACTAAGGGTGCCCCTCCACTGTTTGTAAAAACAAGACCATCACACTCCATCTTGCCGCTCCCGCAGGAGCCAAGCCTCCGGGCTGATTTATGGCCCACAGACTGAATTGGCTGGCCGGGATGACAGCAGTGCTTGGACTCTCCCCGGTGACTCGTGCGGGAGGCTGCTCGGCCAAGTCTCAGCCTCAGCTGGCCGTAGAACTGCCCTTTGCGGTAGTTAGGGCAGACTGGATGTTAAGCTCCGTCCCTAGTGCTGGGATCAGGCTTTGGTGTTCGGGTTATCCCTTCACAGACGGTCATCCTCGGTTCTGCTGGGTGCCATGTTTTGTGAATTTCTGCCTCCCTGTGATACTTCCATTAGCTCCGGCATCACAGGCTCCATCAAGACTCCGTGGTAACAATTTAGATTTAATCAGTCTTTGCCACGCGACTGCCAGGATGGAAAATTAATATGGAGAGCAATTAGAAAACAGCCATCTCACCGTCAGCGATACAACAAGATGAGTGGGGAGCATTTTAGCAGCTGAAGAAAATCCTCAGACATGCGTGGCTGTCCTCAGAAAGGGTCATCACAACTGAGACCTCAAGCATTTAACTTTCTGTAGATCGAATTCGGTCTCCCTCAACAATACAAAAAGTGTCAGGGCATAATATTAGAGCTCTTTCAATCACCAGAGCTTAACGATGGTTGTCTCCGACTATAGACATGCAATATGTGATGCCTTACTTACCTTTATATCATAGGAATAAGTTGTAGCTCACACGGAAAGCGTATCAAAGTTGAAATTGCTTTAAGTGATTGGCTTTCATAGTTGCATTATACTGTCAGGAGTTTGTTTTTTTCATACGACAAACTAAATCAGGACATCCATTGTTGCCGTTACAACAAAAATGTCAGTACACAGAGGAAATACAAGTAGTTTAAGCCCAAAGTGGCAGACATTCTTTGTAAAATGATTTATCATGCCACGCTGCTGTTCCAAATTCTTTTTAGGGTTTAGCATGCTGTAAAACCAAAGTGACTGAATTGTGTCGCACAGTGAGCCCCCATCGCCTTGTGGCGCGCGTTGAACATAGAAATAGGAAATGTCACCTGAATCTGGTTCCACATTAACTCACCCCCGTCTGTGGACGTTAAATCTGCCCCCCCCTTTTTTTCCCCATTGTGGCTGCTTACACTCATTTTATGGGATTACATCATTGTTTTAGACCTTGAGGCTGTGTGAGCTAATTTTGGAGAGAAAAGCGCCTGTGTTTTCCAAGCCAGGCTTCACGTGGAAGCCGAGCATTATACGCAAAATAGCTGGCGAAAGCTCGGGGAGTTTTTCGGGGGACACTGAAAGCATCCCTTCCCTTTCGTGTCATGGGATTTTAATCTTTTGCTGATTCCTCTTTTTTTTGCTACATTAGCAACAAACAAATATCACCTCCGGCTGTATGACATGAAGGGATCATTATATGCTGTGCACAGGGGTAAGTTGAGCAATGGGCTTGTCAGGTCCTGGGATCCCCTGTGCTGAAGCTGAAGATCCGTCCGCCGTAACTGGAAGTTTAGACGCTTTCGTCGCATTGAGGCGAGACGACAGGATGGAATCGGGTGCATGTGTGCTGCAGACGCCTGTTTCTAATGGCAGGGAACGTTTGGGTTTTTCTCCCCGTGCTGAATCAAATTGATGCGATTTGAGGAAACTACATAGAAATATAAAAAAAAAAACTACCAGCATTATCAGGAGAATTTGGCTTTTGCATTTGAAGTGGTAATACATATTATTCTCCAAGACCGCGCGTATTAGTTCATACATATTTAAAGTTCTCCCTAGTGCCGTTGCCAGTCTTTGGACCTTTATTCAGTATTAAATCCCAATATGTCTGATTTGATATCAGAACTGGACTATTTGGTAGATATTTTTTTTTTGCCTCCATTTCCAATAGGCTGTTTGTATCTTAAATCTGGAGCATTAAAAAAACCGAGGCAGCCTCCCAATGGAGCTCCCTCAATTAATAGGTATTAAATCATTGATAGGAAACGTCCCCAATGACATCCTGCTCCGTACCCGTACTTAAAGTCTGCTCCTGGAACGGATTGGCAGCCTTATGTTCCTGAAGACTTTCAATACAAACTCGCAGTAGGAGGAGGTTTCAGATTTCCAAACGTAGGCACTACTGTAAAAGCTATTAATGAATTACTCTCTTTTTTTGCAATAGGAGGAGATTGTGTTTTTGTCAGAGGTCGATGGCCTGTCACTTCTTTTATTCATAACTCTCCCATTTGTTGGGATCTTCTAAAGCGACATCTGCGTTTTGTGAAGCTCGGAGATGAGGAAGGATGTGTGAGTGTTAATGGCATTTGACTTCCATAACAATGCCATTTACAACCCAGTTGCTCTCCCATAGACCCCTGAAGGAAAGGGAGAGAAAATGGCATTCACTGCTAATGCACAACCACTAAGAAGAGAGCATACAACTTATTTATGTCTTTGTGCCTGGAGGCTTTTCATGCTTTAGAAAAAGTGCTTCAGGCTATTGAAAAACAAGCCAAAAGTATTTAGAGGAAATTGCGGTCATGAGCAATCTTTAATCAGTGCAGAAGATTCATCAAACTCGTCAAAAAAAGGTTCCGGGAGACATTTTTAGATTACTAAATGTAATTCAAATGCAGATATCATACAGAGTTATTCAATGCCAGCAAGTAATACGATTTAATATTTTGGTTTATACATTACTACTGCGACTGGAATATTGTTTAAAAAATGCACCAAAAAGGTGTAAGTTGGAAACACTATTGAGGATACAGCTTTAGACGGATTAAAAAAAAAAGAAAACAGGATTTCTAAAGTTCTTAAAAGGAAACGTCACAGTGGAAAATCTAATCTTGTGTGTTTGGGCTTGTTTTGCTTAAATATTATTCATTGCGCTCCATCATGTACCTGGTAACGACTTTCGTAAAGGCTTTTGATTACATTATTACATTCTCACCGAATCCCTTCTCCTTTGTCTCCTTGATTGCAAGTACAATCCCATTGGAACAAACCGCATTAATGCAGATTTACATACATACAAGAGCGGAAAATACATTAAATTGGCTTTTTCTTTCCTATTGGCCTCATAAGAGGATTTTAACTGCGCAGACATGTTGCCTGTTTATACTGCAGTTTGGATAACGGGGATGATAGTGTGTTCTAATATCTCATAAAGCTGAAATGTTTACGCAGAATTCCTCTAAGGTCATCAACTTGTGCTGTCATTTTAGATTTCATTTGAGAGGCACATTGCAATGCCGTCCCTTGTAAGGAAGAAGATGCCTCAGTCTGCATTTATTGAGGAGAATGCCACGTCTGTGTGTGTGTCTGTGTGCGAATGGCTATTCACACATGATCAAAGGAAGCTAATTCTGTGCCGCCTCCGTTTCTCTATCAAGCGCTCGTGTGGACATTGGTCACTCATGCTTTTCTTTTTTTCCTCTGCTGGTGTTCATTTTCAGCCTTCAGGCATGATGATTACTCCAGAACTCATCTCCCTTATTCGGCTTCAAACTGCCCACGACAGCCTTTACTCATTCACCCAGTCGTTTAGTCACCGTGTTATCTGTTGGTCTCATCAGATCATACTTTATGAGGGACGGCTCCGGCATATCTGTCCCTAAAAAGCCTGTCTCCAATCTTTAAATATCGATCCCCAGGGTCTAGCTGAGGGCCTCTCGTGAGTGCAGGAAAGAAGGGAGAAAAACAGATCATTAGTGATTTTAATTAGGTGATCTGTCAAGCTGCGATTGCCAGATGTAAGCGTATGCATTTGGGTCGATGGCAATCCCTCTGACAATCCCCTCTTGTCACCTTGGGCCTCTGAAAAGGAGGATGGCTCTCGCTAAGAGTGAAACAAACGGTAGCGGAGTGCAGAAATGTGCCGTTCTGCATCTCTGTTGCGGCTTCTTCCTCAACATCGGAGCAGGTGGAAAACGTACCACAGTGGCATTGAGCAATTTTGTAATTGCAATGTTTGTCTAGGGCTCAATCATCAATCAAGTGTGTCTTTCTTAAATGATTCCTAGAATTATAACTTTTCAGCAATTGTTGTGTACATATCTGGGTAATCAAACCAACGGGGGAAAAACATAATTACAGATTCCCAGTTAGAGTGAGGAAGCGCGACACTTTTATTGTTGTAACCAGCTAAAAAACTGTCTTGAAAGTCCTTCCCCTCCAACATAACAAATTACAAAAGACTGCAGTTATACTGACTGACGCAAGTTTTTTTTTTCACTCCGGCGTTAAACATCATTACATATTTATGACACGGCGCCAGATGACAGAGAGAGAGAGGAAGAGAGAGATGAACCAGGCAACAACTCGTCTGGTTTCTCCGTCTGCGAGATATCTGATTGCACTGTTTAGACCTGCCTTTCATCTAGTGTTGTTACAGAAAACCCAATTATACAAGAGTTGCAAATGGACTTTTGATTTAACAATACATCATTTAATTGGCGTATTAGAAGTGCTCAAAACATCCAGATCTACTTTTCCGTGAGCAGTGTGTAAACGCTGCCGCGGTTTTGAGCAGGTGTTGGAAATGAAAGTGAAAGCAAAGGATTCAGTCCGTTGTTTAACTTGAGGTATTTTGATTCAAACTAAATGCAACATCGATTTTTGAGAGAAAAGGAGAAAAGTTTGAGATATCTATAAAACCCCATCATAAAGCTGCTTTTAAGGACGAAAATCATGTTTTCTTCTTTCTCTTGTGTCTCCTCAGATCCCAGCGAAGGCTTTCACTGCCAGGACGAGTGTCGCATCCTCGGCCACTCTGACCGCTGCTGGATGCCTCGCCACTCCATCCCCTCGCGCGTCAAGTCACCCGAGCACGGCCGCAATGTCATCGCCTTGTCCATCGAGGCCACCACGGTGGACGTGCCCCACTACGAGGACGGCACCATCAAGAGGACTTTTGCCACCTTCGGTAAGGACGGGCCCGAGGACGTGGAGCGGGGAGAGTTAAAGGGGAAGCGGACTCAGGAGTCTCAGGTGTGCAGCCCGAAGGCCAACGGAGGGGCCGTCCGCGAAGCCGGCAACGGGCGCGAGGCAGCCAGCCCCATCACTTCCCCCGTGCACCTGAAGAGCCCACCGGCCAAGCCGTCGTCCGCCTACAACACGCTGAAATGCCGCGACGCAGAGCGGATCGCCAACCACAGCCTGCTGCGGCAGCCCGAGGGGAAGGACAGTGAGCCAGCTGTCAGGGAGATCAACACGCTTCTCCACGACGGCCGAGACAAGGAGTCCCCAAGCAGCAAGCGCCTGAAGGACATTGTGCTCTAGCGAGCTTCTCTGTGACACAAAACAACATTCGTACACACAGACACACACACACACACACACACACGCGCGCGCGCCGTGTATAACTCACATGTATGTACCCACCCGCAACAGCTGTGTGTACACGGGAGGCTGTGGAAGGAGGGAGACGCACCCGTTTGCAGTTGTACAGAATTGAAGAACCAGCTCGTGCTGAGGACGATGGACTGTAATCTGCTGCGGCTAGTTGTGTGCTCAAGCCGAGGTAGTGGATGTGGCTTCGTTGTAGTCGCAGTACTTTTTCCTTGTTTGTTTTTTTTTGTTCAGTTTCTCTCTATCAGTCTGCAATGGATGGACGGGCAGGGTACTATTGGCTGCATGGACATGGACATACCCAGTGGACCTCTGCAGTGCTTGCGCAAAAGCAGGACAATGCACGTTTGGACACCTGAGAGGCCAATTCACGTACAAGTACAGTTATGCCTTTTGAACTACTTTTGTATCACAAACTGATATTTGCCTTGTTTGGTTTTGCGGTTTGTTCTAGCTGCCAAAATCGCTCTTTGTTCCTTTGTATAGTGAGCTCCATCAATGTAATAAACGACATACACAGGATTCATTTAAAATGATTCCCAATTTACTCCCTCAACAGTTTGCAGTGCGTTCATGGGGAAGGTCTCATTTGACTCTTTCCCAGAACTAATAAGATAAACTTTATCTGCGTATCCCTGAGGACATCCTAGTGTCATCAGACTGTGAGGTCTTTACAGTATTTATATTTTATCAAGGACGGAGCAAAATGAGCTCTCCCTATCTGCACAGCCACTCTGAACACTGGAAGTGGGACGGACGGATCCTTGCGTTTAAATTGAGTTGTATGAAAGGAAAAAAAAAAGACTTTTGAAATCTCCCTGTGCCCAACCTTGATTGTAGCCAGTGGAGCACAAATTAGAACATTGTGCTCTGGTCTTGTACTTTTTTTGACTTTTGACTATGGGGCTAGGATAGAAGGGATCGTCACTCATGTCTTGCTATGTGAAACTCTATATGGGGTTTACTATTATCATTTTTAATAACCTGTTGTTATGTGACAATCCCTTTAATGTTTGGTTTCAAGAGAAAAAAACAAATAAACATTGGTGTTTAACTGAAGCTACAGTAGCGTTTGTTACACAAACACAAAAAAACAAAAAAACATATATGCCAAAATATATTTTATAAATAATTTAAAAATGTATAATGAGAATATTTAATGCTGTGTAGTTATTTTATGAGTAAGTTATACTTGAAATTACTTGCTTTTGTTCATTTGTCTTTTGCTTTTATAATGAATCTGATTTCTTTTCTTTTTTTCAAAATGAACTTGGATTCTTTTTTGTTTACTGTGTGACCCCTGGCAACTGTTGCAGTCTACCTTGTTGTAAAGAGTTTCTTATTGGTCAGTTCTTGTGCCATCAAGTTTCTGTGTGGGCTATTAGAAAATGTAAAAAAGACAAAAAAAAAAACCAACAACAAAAAAAAGCGATATCAGCACCAACATTAGCGTGTCCGTTCAAAGAGCTTAGAGTGAGATAGCAAAATATACCAAAAAAGATGCAAACTAACCTTAAAAATTCCAGGATGTTGCTTAGTCTTAGAATCTAAGGAGGAGAAAGAACATCTCCCAGTGGTCTTCATGCTGGTCACAGGGTTTCACCAAATTGTATTTGTCCAATTAACAGTGTGTTTCCTATTGGGCCAAGTTAAAACAAGACTTTTTCAACCTCAATGGAGGGCAATATTACGCGTAGACTAGCTTTGCTCAGCAATGCTGTCACCATGCGCCATCTGTGTACAGCAGATCTCATGGATAAGGTTCGGACCGGTGGTATAAACAGGGCCTTCTCCTCCTACGTGCACCACACAGCAGACTGGATGGAATCATGTTTGAACAAACCGTGTGTGAAGAACCGTGTTGAACATCAGCAATGTGGTTTTATGTTGCTTTGCAGTAAACTATGTACAATGTTGGAAAATACGAATGAAAATTGACAAATTGCATACAACAAACTAGATCTTGTAGCTGAATGTTTTGCTGGTCTCACCCATGGCTTCTGGTAACATGAAAATCTGAATAATCACTGAATGTATACAGCAGCTTATAATTAAACTATTAAATGTCCTCTGCTTTGTTTTATTGTCTTTACTCATTGTGAGTTCTATTCATTTACATTTTTCAGTGTTTTTAGGTTTGATTCCTTTGGCAACGATCAACAATCACTTGACAAAGGTTGACACTTTTCACAAACGGTATATGTTTCACTCGGAAATAGGAAGTAAGCAAGCCAAGTTAACTGGCTTCCACCGGGAAATTGGAAGCTAGTTAAAAAATAATCAGTAATTCTTTTACCGTGGCACATATTTTGAATCAAGATACTGAGTAACCTAATTCACGGAACAACAAAACATTCATTCTCAAACAGCTGCCAATGTCAGCCTCCCAGCTGGTAGACTATATATATATATATATATATATATATATATATATATATATATATATATTAATATGATGTATATGTGTGCTAAAACAGTGCATCATATTCGTCTGTTTAACTAGTTCTAGGTCTGTCATAAAACTCACAGTGGTTATTATGATGTGAGGGTCTGACGACAGTTGTTTAAAAGAGCCCTATTACACATAGAATGATGTCTACTCTATTTGTCATAATACGATTAAAAGCTTAGGTGGAGGCTGGCAGCAACTCACCATTAATAGTCCATGCATTCATTGTCGATCTTACCCATTATTCCAAAGAAAGACCTTTGGCCATGGTTCGACAGGTAAGGTGAGTGTGCCATAGTGTCTGTTTTTTTACGGTCATGCTCTTCTCATTTGCTGGAGTCGGTCCCACATGACATTTTTGAGACGTTTCAAATCTGAAAATGGTTTTCAAAAAAACAAAGACACTGATCAGGACCATGTAGCCTGTCATTGAGACTCGCGTTCAGCTGGTTGATAACACACTTTTACGGCAAGGAGAACAATGTCATTAATACACCAGATCCCACTTGAAATATTGATCCATTAGTCAACTTTGAGAGGAAGGGTCTCAAAGCTATGAAATAAGTTTGGAGGCAAGACAGAGTCTCGTTCTTCCTCTGCTAGTCTGCAACCATTTCTATGACATTTCCACTCAATAAAGGCTCCACTTTTCTCCTCCCTCATGAACAAATCTTTCTCCTGAGCAAGTTTGTATGGATTGATGAGGAGAAGCAGAGAGTAGGTGTCGAGCAGGAAACATTCTGGCACTGTAGAGAGAGAAAAAGGGAAACAAGTGAGGGGAAAACACACAGCTGCCCTCCGTGATAAGAAAAGGAGGTTGGCTTCATTTCTATAATTAATTTGCCGTTCCCTCTGTACCCTCTGGTGGAGCCAACATGAAAGCTGGTCTGAAAGCGAATTTGCTAACACATCCACTAGTCCATATGGAGGATCGGGTTTCTTCCAGCTAAGTTTTCTTCTCGTGGGCAATACCACTATTTTGCCCCACTCGTGTGAGTTACACATGCCCTTTCAGTAGAGTTTAAACCCATGAGTCTCCATAAAAAAACTCGCCTGAGCTCAAGGTATCGCGTCTCACCAAAAGGGATAAATATTTAAGCATTTTAAAGAAGTCTGTCTTATAACCATTAACCTAAAAAAACAACTGTAGTTGCACAATATTGCACTATTTCTAACTATTTTTAGATAAGTTTGTATTCACAAGTCACAATTATCCCCCAGGGTCAAACCTTAAATGCAAGGCAGAAACCGTGTTTGTAAATCCCTAAAATGGTGCTTATTTAAGCATATTTGATTACTCCTGGTACATGCAGTATATTCTCCTTTACAGTCTAGATCTATATCAAAGGTAACCAGGACATACATCCCATTTACATCCTATTAATGTTTCAATTATAATTAAGCTGAATGGTACGAGGGGAATCAGTGAACAATTAAAATTATTTATTCCAGACACAGACATGCATTGCAAAAGAGCAGAAGGAGGGCCTGCAGTCATTGCATTCCTTCAATACACAATAGTTTGTTGCCAGTTCTTTTGAGTGAGACGCCAATGTGACCAACCCCCAATCAGAATCACTGATCTCTGGCGCTCTAGTGACCTCATTCCATCAAAAGGCTTGCAGCTGCTCCGGCCTCATTATGACCAACTCCTTTTCACTAAGGGGTTCACAGTGGGATTAAATGGTGGGCAACAACATGTTCTACGGAGGGAAGTAACATAAATGTAAAAAATGATGTTCTGTTGCCAGCAGTTTAAGGGTGATACAATAATGAAATCTGTAGATAGATAAAATAAGCTGATTTATTTGATCAGGTACATATGTGTTTAATTCAATGACTTAATCTTCAATTATTGTAGCTACAAATAATGATTCTCTCTCCCTGGACCACTGCAGTTTGCAAGTTTTTTTTTATTTCAAACATGCAAATAAGACTGAGTCAGAGCACATCTCTTGTATAATGTTCCTCCAACTGAAAAAGCAGGGGAAGTGTTCGAGCCTTGAGATTCAAAAGGAAGCAAAGTTCGAGAAAAAAAAGTTTCTACTCTCACAGGAATTTGTTGTAAGTTGCAAATCCAAAACTACCAAGTATAAAAAAAAAGAAGCTATGTAGGCTGATATCAAACATGTACAGTAGATTTCCTTTCTCCATTCCATTCTTCAAGAGTTACTAAACAGATAATGGTTTGTGCCACAGATCCTCACCTTAAGCGAGACGATTATCATCGCTGTTGGAGATGAATGAAAACGGCGCCGGACTGAACTCCCCTCGCCCGGTATGTGTCTTCACACCAAATCTGTACAGCTCGAGTCTACGTTTCAGGTCCTTGGTGGATTCTGGCAGGCACTTACCTGTGGTTGACAAGTTCATACTTTGGAACTGTTGGGGCTTTACTGCAAGACAAAGTCATTTCAGCTCAGAGGCTGTTGTGTGAAGCGAAAAATAGTTTGTAGAAATTATGGCCCCCCAGGAAGTATTTTTCTTGGCCAAAAGGAAGGAAGACCTTTTTTACATTGTATTGAAGAGGTTAGTCTCATAGTCCCAATGGTGGTCATTGCTATCAGTAAGAAGACTGATTAGCCTGCACTCTCTATTTCCCCACCACAACTAAATATCCAACAGGCCTGGCCAGTTGCCATTTCCCTTTGTGGTGGTGCACAATGGAACTTTGATCGCTGACTGAAATAAGTGGCTTAAACAATGGTCTACATTCACTGAACGCCAGTGTGTCCTCAGTGAGATGGGGAGCAGCGCACATTCCCCCGGCAAGCTTTAATTGGAAATGATGCTAGACAGATCATATCATAACCATTAGTAATGCCCTGATAAGACTGACCTGGGAGCTTCTCTGTAAAGCCTCTTTGTGTGAGGAGGGTCCGAAGAGCTCCAGGACCCCTCAGCCAGGCATCTCCAGCATCAATCCCAGTCTGAACTCAACCACCTCTCTCAGTCCCTAACGCCCAGGATGCAGGCTCTGGGGAACAGGGGCAGTTGACCTCCCCTCTCTCTAGAGGTTAGAATTCTGATAGCAGGGACAAGAAATTAAAGACTATGGCCTTTGAAACCCTCCATTACTGCCAGCCATAGCAGGGCAATGAATCTCATCAGCCCTCTCCATGGACATGCATTATCGGAGGGGGGATGTTGCTTGACCTCTCTGCCCTTCTGGACTGCAGCAGAGTGACACTCAACGGAAAACAACGTTTTTTCATTACTTTTTTTGAATCCATCTCAAATATGCATTTCTTGGCAGTTGAATGAAATTTTGTAAAGGAAAATAGGACGGATCAATTGTTCCACTGCTACAGTAATTTCGAAAGATGGATTTCAGTCCCAAGTGAGAGTAAAAAGTGCTTTGAAAAGCCAAAACCAAAAGAGTCCTTTACTTCAGGTGCCAGTTCTCATGGTTACTGGGGTATGCTTGCAGACAGGTGAGTATTTTGTAGAATATTCTAGAATATGCAAAATCCTTTAGCAGGGTGCACTTGCAGTAAATTTGGTTTCAATATATTAAGACACTTTAAACCGTTTTTTCCGACACTGCACATTTTCTATCTTCATATGTGCGTGATTCATGCTGCCGCTGAATTTAACCTGCTTTCTTCATCATCTACACTGCATTTGATGGCATATTGATTCCGACGTTTGTTGTTCTCCTACTATACAACATAATGTTTTCAAGCAGGCTTTACAGTTTACACGGTTCAGTGCTCAATTCGCGGACCTCCATCTCATGTGGAGCACCAGGGGAAATAATGCTTCCATTGTGTTCACCTGAAAGAGGAATGCAACGATGAAAATAAACTTCTTGGGAGGCAGATCTCTAACTCTACACTGCAAGTGCTGAGCTAACGGCAAATAAAGATGACCGCTTTGGAGCCGTCACAGACCAGCTATTGCAATGTGCGCGACACCATCGGCTGTAGTTGGCCCTCATCAGCAGTCATTCGGAGTCAACATGTTGAATTGAAGTGTCAGTGGAGGCATTCAATGAGAGAGAGCTGTCTGACTGATTTATAAACTAGTGATTTTCTCTATTTTGTGCCTGTTCTCCTTATTAGTGCATCTACCTTTTTTGAAAAGGCCACTCGCAGGCAACACCATTTGTGTCTATTAGTCTTGCGGTTCAGCTGACAATAGCGCATACAGACTTAACATAATTAGCGTGATGGGTTATTGAAATTATAAGTAAACTATTAAGCAATTCCACTCACCCTGGAGCAGATCCCGTGTGTATGTTAGTTACAAAGTGGGGGTTGTCTATTTATGATTGATAAATTCCAACTGAGTTGACCATGAAGCAATAGAGAGCCGGCCGCTGTCGCATTAAACTCTTGGAGGTCAGCTCTCAGGTGTGTCAGGTTTAATCCTTTTTGTCACGTTTAAGCAGCTTGAGAAAACAAACTAACTGAACTGCCGGCTGAAAGCTCTGAAAAAAAAGACTTTGAATGAACAAGTGCTTATACAAGATATTGCTCCTTTTCACCTTGCAGTGCGTAAAGGGAAAATAAATGTGTCTGTCGTTGATTTAAGGGATTTACCTGACTCATGTGACCCGGCTTACCTGTTAAAAAAGATTGTTTTTTTTGTCAGTACTACTGCTTACTTTGTGCTGA